CTACAAGCAATTCATATTTTCTATATGATGCTTTACAATATTATATTTGTGTATATACATTAGATCAGTCAGTAGTAAAGCCAAATTTGTAGCTAATCAAGCAAAATAACTTACAATAATGGTTTAAAAAAAAGAAATAGCAGCCCAAATTTTAAATGAAAAATAAAAAGTAAAAATCAAAAGAGACAAAAGTATATAACATTTTGTTGATAAATAGTTTGTAATTTTTTTGGCAATATTTGCATGAATTTAATTTTATTATCTTTCTATTTCTAAAGATGTTCGGTGACTATAATATTATTTTTATAAATACACCGTTTAATAAATCTCTTTTGTTCAAATGCACCAAGATATATATCCTATATTCACTATGAATTGGATAAAAATATTCATTTTCAAAACGAGGTGTATTCATTTATGCTGAGCTCAGTACTGTATGTACTAATGTAATCTAACAGAATGTAACCAAAAACCTAGAATCACTTACCAAAAATTATTAAACAGAAATTAATGTGTTGGGAAAAATATAAAATAAAACTTTAATTAGCAGAAAACATTTATAGAAACATAAAAAACATTGCCATTTGTACTGAGTCTGACTTATCTAATGTATATGCTCAAATATAATAATGTAACGCATCCTATAGTAAACATTATATATGCTCATGTATGCTGAGCACTATAAATATACCTAAGGGGTATAATCTAATGTATATGCACAAATATAATATTTTAACACATCATATAAAAAATATTATATATGCTTAGCACTATAAATATAGCCCAGGGGTGTAATCTAATGTATACGCACAAATATGATATTTTAACACATCAAATAGAAAATATTATATATGCTGAGCACTATAAATAAAGCCCAGGGGTGTAATCTAATCTATATGCACAAATATGATATTTTAACACATCATATAGAAAATATTATATATGCTGAGCACTATAAATATAGCCCATGGGTGTAATCTTATGTATATACACAAAAATAATATTGTAACGTATCCTTTAGTAAAAATTATATATGCTCATATGTGCTGAGCACTATAAATATACCCCAGGTGTGTAAATAATAATTTCGGCCATGCCTGTATATACATTCATTCTTTCATTCATTCATGCATGCACGCACGCACGCACGCACGCACGCACGCACGCACGCACGCACGCACACACACACACACACACACACACACACACACACACACACACACACACACACACACACAGTTTCCACCAGCGAGTTCTTCCTTCCTCCTGTGTTTTGGCACCAATGTAAGTTCAAAACACTTTAATAAATAAAATACACTAAACAGGTGGCAGCAGCCCCTCAACGATGACTACTAGAGATGTAAACCTACAATGGTGTCACGGTTCGGTTCGGTTACAATTATCATGCCATCGATTCAGTTCAATTCTATATCTCATTGCATCACGGTTTATGTTTTCTTCACAGCACAACACTTCTTGTATTAAAATGTATATATTTTTTTATTTATTTATATAATATTTGTAATAAACTTTTGTCCTTTAATACAGTCAGATATATAAACTGTACATTAAAATAACACAAGCATTTATTGCAAATAAACAAATATAAGTATCCCGCTTGCTTTCTGAGCTCTGTCTAGCAAGTTCTCTTACACCCCTTTGATTGGTCACACACTCAACAGAAAGCTGCGATTGGCTCTTACTCGCTGGTGCTCTTCACAGATAAGTGACTGATAAACGGCAGCAGCGATTACAGCGGCGATCACAGCTGATCCATGATAGACACAGTGGAGAAAACTCTGCAGACACGTACTCGTGTCTGTATTCAGAAGTATCACAATAACCGCCGAGAGGAGAGGAAACGCCACGCCAGCAGGTCAAATGGGCCACAGTGAGAGAAAGAGAAATGGAGTTTACTTTCGTTCTCTCAATCGCAGTGAAATAGGGGCTTCTGCTGTAAGTGTCAGTAAAAGACTTTCCAACAAACACACACGCTGTGAAATTGTGCACAGTTTCTGCGTTTTTAAGTAGTTGGTTCATTGTACATACTCGTGCTTGCCTCCCTCGCCATAGTAAGCTACGGTGACATAGCGCACATGAGATAAATGACGTCAGTACATAATAACCGGTTATGATTATTACTAATCCGATATCAAATTGTATTTTTATTGTAATTATTTTTATGTTGGTTTGCAGTTTTGGCATTCGTTGTCTGGGACTGCCTCTGCCTATTTTTATTTTATTTTATTTTATTTATTTTTTTTTATCTCATTTTATTTTATTTCATCTCATTTTATTTTATTTTATTTTATTCTATTTGTAAAGTGTTTTTAACATTCCGCAGTTTCTCCTTCTTCCCTTGAACAGTGAGTTTTGAACCTTTGAACCTTGTGTTCCTGATCCAAAATAAGAAATTCAATAAGAGCTGCATGGCTCAGGTGAGGTGAAGGGGATGTCCTGAACTACATGCTAGTGGATGTAGATATCTAATTCAGGGAACAAAAACATAAAGTGTCCAGGCCTAGTTGTTTCTCCTCCTTTCCAGAGCTCCTCTGTGAGAGTTGAAACTGTTGTGTGCACAGGTGACCATCATTAACACTCTTGCCACTGGCCTCATTCCACTCTCACTGTTCTTGGATCCGCCTCACTCACTGCACTGAAATTGTCCAAAAATGTTCTTATTACTGTCAGATGTATACATTTCTCTCGGTAGGGGTTATTTTTCTAAAGTGCTTATCCAATAATGACAAGTAATTTGAAACATCATTGATATTCATAGGTCAACATATATTTATGAAATCTCTCATAATTTCTTGACCTGTCTAGATACATAACAGCCGACTCCAAGTATGACATATCATTTTGATCCAACAGCAGAATTATGTTTTTTATTGCTCTTGTAGCAATTATAGATTTGCTCTTTTGGCTTGATGGAATGTTGAGTTATGAATGCAGGATGGAGTTCATAGAAAACGAAGAGTCAGAAAAAGAGAGAGAGTGAATTACTGCGGCAAAGGCAGACAGCAATTCTCTCTGGCATTTGGATCTACTCGGAAAACCTGTGAGTCATCAAAGTGTCAGGTCACGTTTTTGATGGAATCTCTGACACGTTGGGAATAAAAAAAAACACTCTGCACTTGGAGAGCCACTTCTTTTGTATCACCACTGTCCCATGGCACCATTTGATGTCCTGTCATAAAAATCGAGCTATACCTCGTGGTATATAACTATATATTTGTTGGTCATGTTTTTATCCTTTGAGATTCATGTCTGATGTCATATGTCTAGATTCACATATTGTGCTGTTTGTGTGCCTTGTAGTGTTGTCATATATACAGCTATGGAAAATATACAGAAAAAAAATCAGCTATGGAAGATGAAACAAAAAATACAGCTATGGCAATAAATAAGTGATCACTAAACATTTTTCAGTTTTTCTGGATTTACTGAATGTTATAATGACTATAATGACTTTTATAAATTCATATTTGTTTTATTAATAAATGTTATTTTTCCATTAATAAACATTTCCTCCATTTTTTACAATATGGTTTTCATATAGAAATTTTTTGGTCAGAATAACAAATATTTTTATTTGTTGTGATTTAGTGTTGTGTTTAAAATGTAATGAATTTCTAATTAATAATTTTATAATTAAATTTGTATTTAATGGCTTTTGTATTTGCTTTGTATGATAAGTAACTTTTAAGTCATTACTTGACTCCAGTGCTTCATTTGTAAATTTCGTGGTCCCAGAACAGATTGGGGTAACTGATCTGACATGTTACCAAAGGAGAGAGAGGAGTCGTTGACAGATGAAAGTGAAGAGCGGGGGGTGGGGCGTGGTTGTGTCGCGGACAAAAGTTAAGAGCGTGGGCGGTGTCATGGGCAAAAGTGCAGAGCGGTTGGAGGGGGGTTGTTGTCACGGACAAAAGTGAAGAGGGTTGGAGAGTCGCGGAAGTGCGTGAAGAGCGTGCAAGGAGGGGATCAGTGAAATGATTTTCGAGGTCTGGATCCGACTTGTTCTTCCACAAATTAAGCCCTGCTTGACGCAATACTACACATCCACATACATCTTGATGCAATGACAATAGAAATAAAACTCTTAATTTTTTACATAAAAAACAAAACAAAAAAAACAAAGCAGGACCTTTTATTTTTGTTTAAAAAACTTACATTTTAAACTATGTATGCATCAAAAAAGGCTCAGTGGCTAGCACTGTAGCCTCACAGCAAGAAGGTCGCTGGTTCAAATCCCGGCTGGGCCAGTTGGCGTTTCTGTGTGGAGTTTGCATTTTTCCCCACAACCCAAAGACATGCGCTATAGGTGAATTGAATAAACCAAACTGGCTTAGAATGTGTAGTCTATCTATGTGAATGAGTGTGTATGGATGTTTCCCTGTATTGGGTTGCAGCTAGAAGGGTATCCGCTATGTAAAACATATGCTTAATAAGTTGGTGGTTCATTCAGCTGTGGCGACCCCTGTTAAATAAAGGGACTAAGCCGAAAAAAAATAAATGAATGAATGAATGTATCAAAACACAAAAACATACCAAATTTGTGACACCAATAGTATACATTTCTCAAGATTTGCTTCTTGAGCATGTTCAATTGTTGGACAAATAAAACCAAAAATTTAGTTATTATACACAATATCTGAATTTATATGCTTGTATATTTGTTGTTTTAAGCAAATTTTTTTAAATTTGAGAAAAAAAAAAACATTAAGCAAACAAAACTCATAACATTATTCAAAAAAACTAAGTAATAAAAATCTAAAAAAACTCATTTAAATCAGTTGACAGCCCAATATTAATAATAATAATAATAATAATAATAATAATAACAATACATTGTATTTATAATGCTCTTTTCCACAATTGAAAGCGCTATATTCTTAATCACACGATAATATCTCATGTCTTAATGTTGTTGAATGTAAGCCACTGAATTTAATACTTTTTTTCTGACTTTGTTGTGATTGTTTTTTTTTTTTTAGGAATGGGCAGCAAATAATGAAACCAGGGTGCAGATTGAAGACACAGTTTTGTATGGCTACTACAGTAAGTACAAAGTTACACTTATCTTGGGGTAGAAAATTCAATTTCCTTACCTTGCATTTTTAGAAAAAAAGCGCTGCTCATATTCCTTCATCATCCGCTGCTCTTATTGTTTGCGTTTCATTGTGGGAGCCGGGCACAGTCCATTCCTCAGCGCGCTGTTAATGTCCATTGACTTGGGTTATAAATTACGGCACACACATGATCTGACATCGGCCTACAAAAGCTGGCAGTTAAGTCGCTGGATGGTTTTATTTGTGTGGAACCGTCTTGGTCAAATTAAGCTAAAGTGAGTGCAGTTTTCAGCTGAATAAATCTCTTGTCTGCTAGGGTAAAAAAAAATGCATTAGTCAGTGACCTTTTCCTTGAACAAGGTCGGAAGGACTCATGAGTACGTCTTTTTTTTTCTTTTTTTTTTTTGGAACTGCATCCTCATTTTATGACTTCATAGTGTTAAATATATCTCAGTGACACACATGCAGACTTTAATTGAGTCCTCCGTTGCTTCCACTTTAAATAATATCTTTTAGGGATGCTGGAAGCGGGGACAAGGTAACATAAAATTGAGTTATGGCACAGTTGCTTGATTATCATTAGAGTTTGCAAACAGATGCTGCGCGGAACAGGCCGTCAGTAGTAGAGCGGCACGACGTCTGTTGAGCAGTGCCAAGTGCGCTAGAGACAAGCTGTCAGCCAATACAAACCAGCCAATCAAAAACCCTCACTTGCATTGTCAGAAAAGCATCCGAAGATTAACGATGACAGTGCAGGTAGATGTGTCGCAAATCCCCTGTCCAGCTGTCGGCCTCTGTTCCCCAAGAACAAAACAAAATACAATTCGGTGCACAAAATTGATTCAATGAGTCACAAAGATAGAGTTTGACAAGGAAACTTCTGTTTGCAGGAGAACTGCTGAGTGATTTGTACAAGATCGTAAGCAGGGAGATTAGCTAAATGTTGTTTTCATAGAGAACATGAAGCATTCACGGTGCATTTATAGGTAAATAAATATCTTGTATGACAGGTTGCATCTGAAATCACTGTTTAAAGGCAGATTTATACTTCTGTGTATACTTTTGCGCGGTCGCTTAGCCCTTGCTGTGCTTGACTTCAATGCTGAATCACACCTCTCAAAAAAGAAGCAACAACATGTGGCGCAAGCTCTGTGATTGGTCGGCTTGGTATCTGTGCCAAGTGTAGGAAATAGGTTCTGTCTTGAACTACAAGACAGGGGCGTAACATAAAGCAGCCGTATAGGGCATAACTTGTAGTACGTTAGAACTTAAGGTTATGGAGACATGTCAAAACTATGTTGTCGGCATGATGGTGATGTACATCAGTTATTAACGTCTAAACCTACCACAACCTTAAACCTCACCATCACAGATATTAACGTTTATACCAGCTACATTCCTAAACCCAACCATCACAGTTATTAACGTCTATAACTACCACAACCCTAAATCCAAACATCACAGTTAATAACGTCTAAACCTACCACAACCTTAAACCAAACCATCACAGTTATTAACGTCTATACCTACCACAACCCTAAATCTAAACATCACAGTTAATAACGTCTAAACCTACCACAACCCTAAACCAAACCATCACAGTTATTAACGTCTGTTCCTGCTACAACCCTAAACCCAACCATCACAGATATTAACGTTTATACCATCTACATCCCTAAACCCAACCATCAAAGTTATTAACGTCTACACCTTCCCTAAACCTAAACCCAACCATCACAGTTATTAACGTCTACACCTTCCCTAAACCTAAACCCAACCATCACAGTTATTAACGTCTACACCTTCCCTAAACCTAAACCCAACCATCACAGTTATTAACGTCTATACCTTCCCTAAACCTAAACCCAACCATCACAGTTATTAACGTCTATACCTTCCCTAAACCTAAACCCAACCATCACAGTTATTAACGTCTATACCTTCCCTAAACCTAAACCCAACCATCACAGTTATTAACGTCTACACCTTCCCCAACCCTAAACCCAACCATCACAGTTATTAACGTTTATACCATCTACATACCTAAACCCAACCATCACAGTTATTAACGTTTATACCATCTACATCCCTAAACCCAACCATCACAGTTATTAACGTCTATACCTTCCCTATACCTAAACCCAACCATCACAGTTATTAACGTCTACACCTTCCCTAAACCTAAACCCAACCATCACAGTTATTAACGTCCACACCTTCACTAAACCTAAACCCAACCATCACAGTTATTAACGTCTATACCTTCCCTATACCTAAACCCAACCATCACAGTTATTAACGTCTACACCTTTCCTAAACCTAAGCCCAACCATCACAGTTATTAACGTCCACACCTTCCCTAAACCTAAACCCAACCATCACAGTTATTAACGTCTACACCTTCCCTATACCTAAACCCAACCATCACCGTTATTAACGTCTACACCTTCCCTAAACCTAAACCCAACCATCACAGTTATTAACGTCTACACCTTCCCTAAACCTAAACCCAACCATCACAGTTATTAACGTTTATACCAGCTACATCCCTAAACCCAACTATCACAGTTATTAACATCTATACCTGTTACAACCCTAAACCCAACCTTCACAGTTATTAACGTCTAAACCTACCACAACCCTAAACCTCACCATCACAGATATTAACATCAAAACCATAGTATGCATAGAACTCTGACGTCTGTCATTTTGTCATGATCATGTGACCTACTGTTGTCAGTTGCGTCACTTCACTCCCATTCATAAATTCTCTCTTGGTGCAACATGGGATAGCGTAGCGTCCATCGGATGCACACTTCATAATCTCGACAGAAGTAGTAGGTCATTCGGGTGCTTTTTGCATACTGTTTTTCGAATTCTGTGAATTAGAACATACTACTCTGCCCGCATACTGTTTTTAGCATACTATATAGTATGTAAGTGATACGATTTTGGATGTAGCCACAGAGTCCAATTTTTTTGTTTGTTTTATGACTGTCTACCATAGATATATACACTAAATATCGCATACGGACTCTGAGCATGCATCAATACTGCCGCCATATTGGTACAGTGCTCCCAGGACAAAAATCATTCAACACTTCATCAAGACCAAAGCTGTGTCATCAACCATCAAAAACTAAGCTCAGAGTTCAAGGCATCTTTTTTTGCCACAGATCATATGTGTATTCTTTGGTGTTTGTGTGTATTCATACATATGGGTATTCTTTGATCATAAATCAATGGAGATGGTCAGCAGCAATAATTAGCTAGGCATTTGAATTTAAAATACACTCAATTGGTATTAAGGGGTTCAAAAAGTGCCATGAACAAAATGACCACCATCACAATCCTGTTACATTAATGCAAGGTAGGATGGATCCATGCTTTTGTTGTTTATACCCTACCATCAGAATGTCATTGAAGAAATTGTGACTTACCTAACCTGGAAAGCTTTTATCAAACTTTTGTTGTCTAGTGGTAGTGAGCCTGTGTAAACTGTGCAGTCATTTTCCTTTTCTTAGCTGCTGCAGTAGGTTCAAGGTGTTTTGTGGTCAGAGATTGTTTTCTTCGTAGCTCGGATGCGATGTGTGGTTATTTTAGTTACTGTTGTCTTTCCATTAGCTCAAACCAGTCCAGTCGCTCTCCTCTGACCTCAAGCATCAACAAGGGATTTTCACTTACAAAACTGCCTCTTAATGTACATTTTCTCTTTTTCAGACCATTCCCTAAGCCCTCGAGATAGTTGTGCATGAAAATCCCTGTAGATCTGCAGTTTCTGATTTATCAGATCGTCTGGCACCAGCAAACACTGCACATTCAAAGTCACTTAAATCTCCTATTTTTGCCGTTCTCATGCTTCAGCATCTTCTTGACCACGCCTGCTTGTTTATATACATTGAATTGCTGCCATGTGATTGGCTGATCAGATTTGATGGTAGTTGTTAAAGTTGAAGCATGTTGTTTCTGTGCTCCTAGTGTCACCTAGTGTAAAACATCAGCCATGGCCCAAACACGTGTGATTCAAACTAGAAAGTGATTGATGGATATGAGTGGCCCACTCAACATTCACATTTTTTTTTTAAGAAGATAAACACATTAATGGCATACTTGAAGGGCAATAAACTGGTCAAAGAAAGATTTGCAATCTTTGATACAAGACTGTCCTCGCTAGTTGATTCAAATTTCTGCTTTTGAATTTGAAGTGATTTTTGTTGCAGTTTAATTTGACTGTAGCCATGGGCGCTGATCAGCTAGCTAGGTTAGGATGATTCTAAGGGCCTACAAACTTTGGGAATTTTCTTTATTAGTATTTTCTTTATTTATTATTTAACCAGGGAAGTCCCATTGAGATACAATATGTCCTCTACCCTGGAGCATAGGACAGAGTTACAATATATATATAGATTACAACACATATACAAACACAAAAAAATATCTAAACCATAATCAATTCTAGAAAATGTGCACTGTTTTAAATAGACCGAATTAAAAATATTTTTGGTGGATAGATGGTTGAATATGAAGTTTATCTTGAAGCTCAGTCCATACATTCATTTTCTTTTCGGCTTAGTCCCTTTATTAATCTGGGATCGCCACAGTGTGATGAACCGCCAACTTATTCAGCATATGTTTTACGCAGCGGATGACCCTCCAGCTGCAACCTATCACTGGGAAATATCCATATACACTCATTCACACACATACACTATGGACAATTTAGCTTAGCCAATCCACCTATACCACATACCTTTGGGGTTGGGGGTAAAAACCCACGCAAACATGGGGAAAACATGCAAACTCCACTCAGAAATGCCAATTAACCCAGCCGAGGCTCGAACAAGCTTCCTTCTTGCTGTGAGGCGCTCGTACTACCCACTACACCACCGTGACACCCCTCAATCCATACATATGGAGCATAATCAGAGAATGAAGATCAACCTAAATCTGTGTGAAAATAGGCATCTTAAGTAAGATTATATCTGCTGA